CTGTTAGAGTGTGCTTAATACCATTGACTTTACAGAAATGTTTAAACATTAACGCAGTAAACTGGGGTCCATTATCAGAGATTATCAGTCTCGGTAATCCCCACCTAGCAAATATACTTCGTAAAACCTCAATTGTAGTCTCTACTCTTGTATTTGAAAGAATACATACTTCTGGCCACTTACTATATGAATCTACTAGCACTAGAAACATTTTATTTTGAAATGGCCCAAAAAAATCAATATGGACTCTTTCAAACGGTTTTGAAGATTCTAAATAAGGAATAACCGCCGCCTTTCTAGGGTTGGGTCTCTCTAAACTACAAGAACTACAATTCTGTACGATTTTTTCTATGTCCCTATCTATAGAATTCCACCAAAAAATTGACCTTGCTTTACTTTTCATTTTTACTATTCCAGCGTGTGTCATGTGTAGCTCATCCAAAAGTTGAATCCTAAACTTTAGTGGAATAACCACCCTATGACCCAACATAATAATACCATTTTCAATAGTTAGCTCTAACCTTCTATTATAATAAGGAAAATTTTTTGAATTTTCTGGCCAACCGTTCAGTATATATTTGTATAATTGACGAAATTCTGCATCTTTTTGAGTTTCTATTCTAACATCTTCAACTACTATTGGTAGACTATCATTTTCCATAACAAAATTTAGAAATGAGTGTTGTTTCCTAATAATTTTATTTTCCTTACATTTTTTTAAGGGTAAGCGAGACATACAGTCTACACTATAATTTAATTTTCCTTCTACATACTTTATTTCAAAATCAAATCCATTTAAATATACCGCCCACCTTTGCATACGCCCTGCTGCAATTTGTGGAATGCCTCGTTTATCACCAAATAAATAAATCAACGGTTTGTGATCTGTGCATAATAAAAACCTGTGTCCTATTAAATAGTGTGCACATTTCCTAACACAATAATAAATAGCTAAACTCTCTTTATCCAACATTGAATAATTTTTCTCTGCTGAATTTAAAGTTCTGGATATGAAACATATTGGTTTTTCGCTTCCATCTGCCATTACATGTGACAAAACTCCCCCTACGCCATATGCACTTGCATCACAAGAAAGTTTAATAGGTAAATTTGGATCGAAATGTACTAATACATTATCTGACGTTATTATTTCTTTTGCTTTCAAAAAAGACTCCTCACAACTCTTATTCCAAACAAAATCCACATCTTTTCTCAAAAGGTTATATAATGGGTGCAACAACTCAGTAATATTTTGTATAAATTTGCAATAATAATTTAACATACCCAAAAAAGATTTAACCTGAGAAACATTCTCTGGAGTAGGGCAATCTAAAATTGCTTTAACTTTTGAAAGATCCTTTTTCAGGCCTTCTTTACAAATAATGTAACCCAGATACTTGATCTGATCTTGAAAAAATTTACATTTTGTCTCAATTTAAACCCTGCTTGTAATAATTTTTGGAAAACTTCTCTTAAATTTTCTAAATGCTCTGTGTCATCTGCACCTGTCACTACTATATCATCAAGAAAAACTACACAGCCCTTACAACCCTGCAACGTCTTTTCAATGATCTGCTGAAAAATTGCGCAAGCTGGTTTTGTTCCAAACGGTAATCTATTCATTTTAAAAATTCCCTTATGGGTGCTCCAAGATAATAAAACCTGAGTACTCTCATCTAGTTCTAGTTGATTATACGCATGCTTTAAATCAAGTTTCGAAAACTTTTTGCCATTTGCTAATTTACTGAAAAGTTCCTCAATACGAGGTAAAGGATACTTAACATCCTCTAAAAACTTATTTATCGTTAATTTATAATCTGCACATAATCGCAATGACCCATCACTTTTAAAAACAGGCACCAAAGGAGTACCCCATTCCGAATTATCAATCAAAGTTATTACATTATCCTTTTCTAATCGGTCTGCCTCCTTTTCAACTAAATCCTTATATGCAATAGGCAAAACCCGTGGTTTAAGAAATTTAGGATTAGCCCCTACTACAACATTTAACTTAACTTTACTAAACTTATACAACCCTAACTCGTCCTTAAATAAATCTGCAAAATCCCTTATTAAATCTTCAACATCACTTATGCCGGATGAAATACAATTCAAGTTAGTTATTCTAAATTTAAAAGCATTTAATAAATCTCGCCCCATTAAGGGAGGGCCCCCACCTACTATTACAAATAACTTGCCCTCTCTTTCGAAATCATTAATTTTAATTTTAACAAGAATAAATCCTAACGGTTTAATCTCTTCACCATTATATGCCTTAAACAAAACATTGCAGTCTTGTAACTCAATATTTAAAAAATTATTTTTTTCTACAACTGTCAAAAAAACCTGTCATTTTCTGACGGATTTCGAAACGCGAAGTACTAGATTTTTAATCGGTTAATTAATAAGTAAGGTTGCTCTTGACAACGTGCGCGAAATCGTCAACAGTGAAAAAAAGTATTTCGCGCACGGGACAAAGTTGAACTTAAACAGCAAATTTAATTAACAATCGGTTCAGTTGTAGAAAAAATATTGTATATAACGCTAGCGCGAAGTTATTTCGCGCATTTGACTGATATTTTAACTCGGCTTCGCCTCGTCAAAATACCTTCAGTCTCAATGCGCGAAATTGAACTTCGCGCTCTTGTTATATAAATAACTATTTATTATACCTGAATCACAATCTCCGTTTTAAACACTCAAATGCGTGCGAAAAAGGGTCTTTAAAACACACGTGCTTTAAAGTTGCTAAGTAACGATACTTCAAGTATGACTTTTGAAACTGTCATCTGGATGAAATAAAAAATCCTCTTAGGTCGCTTTCTGTAAATGCAGAACATTTCTTTGGCTTTTGTACCTATCCTTTGGTTGAAGCTTTCACAAACGCGCGTAATTTAGGGTATGCTTCCAAATCTGTTCCACTTTTTAATCGCAGCATTGCTTTAAAGTTTTGAATGAATGCACCAAAATATAAAAGATTTAAATACCTTTGACATTTCCTTCATATATGCCAGCATTATGGATGCATTTAAGAATGTATGCGTAAGTAACTTCCTATTCATCCATGGAAACAACTTTTCATATTCTTTATAATAGGCTTTACTGGAGTTGGATTTTACACCTACCAACGTTTGATTAGATTTTACAACAATTGATTTAATGGACGGTGTATTATCTTTTTCAACGGAAATCGTTTAATTCACAAAGACGATGGTTTTTATAGGCAAACGTCAAGTGACATTTCCATGGCAATCGTGAAATTACGAACACCCAGCCCACTTAATTAGACATGTATTCGAGTATAACGTCAATATGACTTCATTGTATTTCCTATTTTTAAATTATACTGCAGGTATAATAAAAAATACTATAAGATACACGTGTATAATTGGTCTTTAAAGCACTTGCAACGTTAAAAGCACTCCGCTTTGCGTCGTGCCCTTAAACTCGTTGCGCGTGCTTTAAAGACTTGATTATACACTTGTATCTTAATATACTATTATAAGTATTATAGGAAACAGCCGATATTGCTGAACCTGTGTCTACATCCATCGTTAAAGAAATGTCCTCTATTTCCGCCTTAACTTTAAAATTTTTTGTTACAATTTCTCTGTCCTGCACATAAAATAAACCGCTATCAGACTGACTACTTGAATCAGAAGTTTGCACTTCTTCGCTTATAAAATTCTGTTTGTTACTTCTACATACTACCGCCAAATGTCCTACTCTGTTACAAACCTTACATTTATAAGACTTATAAGTACAAGATGAAAAATTGTGGTTGCCCTTTCCACACGCAAAACATTTAAATACCTGATTCTTCGTCTCCTCTTTGCCTTTCACCCCGTCGTTCTTTGATGTACCCGGTTTAGTATGTCCTGGTCGTTTAACGTTAGTGCTATAGACCTCCTCCTCTTTAACTTTAACCGAGCTCAACTTCAATGAAGCCTCTTTCTTCACTGCCAAGTTTAAAACTTCTTCCAAAGATTTCTTATCAGGATCCTCTTCACAGAGTCTATATAAAATTTTACCTTTTAATAAGCCAGTAACAAATTTGTCTTTTAAAATCGCCTCCAAATTACTCCCAAAGTTGCAGTTTATTGCCAATTTTTTTGTTCTTGCGTACCACTCCGAAACACTTTCTGTAGACTTCTGTACTGCTTGGTAAAACAAAATACGTTCATTGAATATTGAAATGTGCCTTGAATATTGCATCCCTAAAAGTTTACAAAGGTCTTCATACGACTTCTTGTTGGGAAGATCCGGATCGCACAAACCCCTCAAGGTTGTATACACAGTAGTGCTTAAAGCTGTGATCAAAATTGCTACCTTCTTTCCTTCATCGATAGAATTTGCCACAAAATATTGTTCTAGTCTTTCTTTGAATATGATAAAATCCGACCCCGGCTGGAAGTCTGGTACTTTTCCATACACCGCCATGATGCAAGGTTAAGCTTCTGCTTCAATCAAATGGAATGGAACCGAACACGTGTTCCTTTATAAAAAATACCTTTCCAATTAAACCATTAAACACCTCGTCGCCAATGTTATGTCTGCACCTTGCATAATAAAAGAATCATGAAAACCTTGTGCTACTAACACATTTATTACAAAATACAAAAATGAAAACGTGATACATGCTCGACACTGGTTCAACATGCATAGTGGTTCACGAAGCGCAGTTTTTGTGTGTCTCTATCATTTATCGGCAGTGTTGCCACTTCCGATACACTACACAATCTGTAATGTATAACGTGTGATACTGTGCAATAACCACTTAAAACTATTACCTCCGAACTCTCCACATTCAATTGTGGTGGAACCATCATCATTTTTTATTGTTAATAATAATAATAATAATAATATTTATTCGTCATGCTATACCATCTGGTTTACGACACGTCCAGTTCTACATACAAACATAATATAAAATACACAATAAAATTACCGATGGACCAAACAATATAATATGTGACTAACTAAACGTAAAACATCTAACATCTAGGAACAAAAGTCATCTTAGTGTTTAAATATTCGCGCACGGAGTAGAAACAATGTTCAAGCATGTGCTTCTTAACATTCTTTTTAAAATTAATGTAGTTAAGCGCTTTTGTAGATTCGGGAAGAATATTGTAAAACTACACGTAGACTATTTTTTTTGATATCTCTAATCTGCAATATGGTGTCCTAATATTTTTTGCTCCACGGGTATTGTAAGAGTGAGCAAGGTCGTTTGTAACAAAATTAGCTTTATTTTTATGAATTTCCAATAGTGTCACGAAAATGAATATGGATGGTAATGGCATAATGCGCAATTGCTTAAAGTAGGGTTGACAGTGAGCACGATATTTCAGCACCTACCATCATGCGAATTACTTTTTTTTTAAGAATAAAAACTATATGCTTTAGATGAATTACCCCACAACATAACACCATATTGCAGATGGGAGTGAAATAGTGCGAAGTAGCAGGATTTTAAAGTATCTGCACTGATTGATCGTTTAAGATTCCTTAGTACAAAGAGTGACTTTGACAATTTCTGTATAACATGGTCGACATGACTGCTCCAACTCAACCTATCGTCTATCGTTGATTTTTCTTGCTGTACATCGATAGGAAGAGGTGCTGTTTCAGGTGATTCCGTCTCTTGCTCCACCATAAACACTTCTGAAACATCCTCTTGAAATTCTTGTAGTGAATTGGTTGAAATCGTGGTTGAAGTTTGTACAATATCGCTAACATCTATAAACATGTATGTACTAATACGTAATGAACTGTTATTTACTTACATGCATCACTATCACCTATGGCGGGGGCAATTCCCTCAATTGAGACATTTATAATAGCTTTAATTTTTTCATATATTTCTCTATTACATCCCGTATATTTATAACGACTGGAGCACCACCACCTGTCCTATATACCTAGTTCCTGTTTTTCCTTCGCGAAGTGTTTCCTGGCCTCCTTTTTTAAGTTGTCTAACTTCGTGCGCAATTGATCAGTAGTTTTTTGCTCAACAGCAGCACAATTAAATTCAGCAGTGATTTTTGCCCAAGCTGCATCCTACAAGAATGGAGTTTAATACTAAAATGTTACTTTAGTATCATAAGCAAAAAATCAAATTATACAGAGTCATTACATCCGTTTTCTTGCATTCGACTATGCTTTTATATTTATATATTAACTCAACAAGTCGTTGTACATCAGTGGCGGCTGGTGGCATGAATCAAGTGAATCACTGATTCACCTCAAATCTAATTTTTTTCATGTTGTTTAAGCAATATTTATTAGCACAGAAATGTTTACTTATTCAAAGCCCAATATACGAAACAAGCCCCTGAATAGAGCGCAACCAACACAACATACTTAAGCTGCGTGCGTCTGATGTTAGTTTTCACTCGAAGAGAAGCACAATACCGGCCTTGACTGCCGTGATTCATTCCGTACCGCTTGTTTACGAGGGTTGTCATGGTAACGACACGTATATCCTATGACTATGACGTATCAGGTGCATCAACGGAATACTGTGATTCTGTGTAATGTGTATGCTATTCCCGTAAGCAAGGCGGCGTAAAGTAGGCTTGCAATTGCAATTGGAACGCGGCGCGGAAACGTTTGATTAATTAAATTAATTCCGTAGTTTTGATTTACTTACGAGTGAAGTGATTATGATTACATACATTACATACATTCTATAAATTGTGTGTTTTTTTTAATTTTAGATTCTCAACATAATTTTCAAACAAAAAAGTATGGGGGAGGTCATCGGGAGGGGTGGGGTTGTAGGAGACTAAAAAATGATGTGTGATTCACCAACTTTAGAGATCACGAGCCGCCTTGTACATCGGCATCGCTGTAAGTAATTCTCTTAGGGCGAGAACACATCTGTAAATGTAACATTAGTGAATTGGAATTGATTTGAATGTAGTGCACAAGCTTACCTTATTTTATTACACAAGGCCAAGTTACCTTGCTTGCTAGAAGAACTATCTACTAATTTACAAAATAAAATCTAAACTGAACCAACTACACGATAATTAAAATGCTTTAACAATTACACACGTACGTAAAAATAAACAACATTTAAATATGACAAAAACGGAACACCAGATAAATACTGTTAATATATAAACAATGATATTATTTATGAAACTATGAATTATGAAATAACAAAACAGAAGTAAGGTTGGAAGTGCTTTCATTAACCGTCGGTTGAAAACCTAAACGATACTTGCGCCATCGGTTAGACTCGACCAGTAGTTCAACCGTCGGTTGGTGTTTAACTATAGGTGGTGCAACGCAAAAGTTTAACCAACCGCCGGTTCAACTTCAACCTCTAGTCAACTACACTTTATGGGTCATTCCAGCGTCCCAGAGTTACTTTTTCAGAATTTTAGGTATTTTAAGGACTTTTTTAAGCGATTTGTAAAATATAATCATTTATTTCCCATTTCGCTAGTTTTATTTGTTATTTTGTAAAATTTGGTACTTTTTTAAAGATTAACAGTGTGTAAGATCTCACCTCCGTTAACTGTCCCAGGAAGTGAAATCCAAACTAAAAGGACAATTATATAGTTTCTAGGTATATATAACAGTTAAAAGCATATTTTCCCATAATACTATAATAACAAACTCAAAAAAGGACCCGTGTGTGCTTCCCTAGACCAGCGAAATTTCCCAAAAATTAATTGAAAATCACTGTCCCGAAAAACTTTCTCACCTCCGTTAATACAATGTAGAAATTGCAAATAAATTCGTTAGATGGCGCTAGGCGGCAATTCAAATCGCCATTAATTCATTTGAATAGCAAAGGTTGAGTGCGTCCCTGTTGGTTTTAGATTAGAGGTTAAATTAAGCTAGTTTTGTGCTATTTTAACAAATAATTTGTAAGTGGTGAAGCTTAATTATCACTCCTGTTAATATTAATTAAACAGGTAAGTACATATATTTCCATTAACTGCTTTATGGGTAGTTATTTATTGCAATGAGAAATGTGAACTTTGTAAGTTAGATTTTGTTAGAGAAACCACCAGTTCATAAAAGGCGGCAAATTTAAACAATAGTCTCACTTCCGTTAATCTCACTACCGTTAATAACAGTTATTATACTGAGAAGAGAGTTGAAAAATATAAGAAAAAAGCACAAAGACTGAAAAGAAAATTACCTAATACACCAAATAAAATAGTTAATGATATGCTAAATGGACAACAAGTTACTCCTGAGGTAAAGAGGCAATTAGTGTTTTCTGAAACTATTCAACAACAGTTAAAAGCTAATTTTCAAGAAAAGAAAACTATTCAGGAGAAAAGAACATTTATTACTAACGTCGGAGGTAATTTAATAAAAAAATATCGCTTTAAATCCTTATTGGGACTATCAACATCTAGAAGCCTACTACAAAAAAATGGTATTTTTCTACAACTGTCAAAAAAACCTGTCATTTTCTGACGAATTTCGAAGCGCGAAGTACTAGATTTTTAAACGGTTAATTAATAAGTAAGGTTGCCCTTGACAACGTGCGCGAAATCGTCAACAGTGAAAAAAAGTATTTCGCGCACGTGATAAAGTTGAACTTAAACACCAAATTTAATTAACAATCGGTTCAGTTGTAGAAAAAATATTGTATATAACGCTAGCGCGAAGTTATTTCGCGCATTTGACTGATATCTTAACTCGGCTTCGCCTCGTCAAAATACCTTCAGTCTCAATGCGCGAAATTGAACTTCGCGCTCCTTGTTATATAAATAACTATTTTAAAATGTCAGAAAAACGAAAATCCACTTTAAAAGGATTAAAAGAATTGTGCAAGATTTTTTCCAAGAAGATGCAGTTAGTCGTCTATGCCCAGGCAAAAAAGATACTAAAACCTTCAAACGGATAAAAAAACAAAAACGGTATTTGAATGGATCAATACTAAATATATACCGTAATTTCAAAAAAACACATCCAAATATTAGAATCAGTTACCAAAGTTTTTGTCAATTTAGACCATTTTGGGTTCTAAAACCTAGTGTTAGGCAGAGGGATACGTGTCTTTGTATACTGCATGACAACATGGCCCTTGTAACATCAAGAGCAAAAGTTCTTAACATCATTGAAGCAAGAGATCCTCATGCTTTGTTGAAAGAATTATGTTGTGATGTAAGAAATGAGAACTGTTTGGAACGAACTTGCAAGGTTTGCCGTGATAAATCAGTTCGAATTCTAGACTTTGAAAAAGGTGAGAAGGTCAAATACGAAAAATGGTGTACCAAAAAAGTTGAAATCACGATCAAAGGACAAAAGAAATTGTGCCAAAAAACTGTAAAGGAATCGGTTGAATGTACCAAACAAGAAATGCTTGCCAAAATTAAAAGCAACCTAACGCCCTTTATGATTCACACAAGAAATATTTTACATCAATACAAATGTGTTGACGATATAAAGAACTCGCTTTCGTTTAATGAAGTACTTTTTCATATTGACTTATCCGAAAACTACAATTGCAAATACACTAACGAAATTCAATCGGCACATTTTGGAGGATCGAAGCCCCAAGTCACCTTGCATACTGTAGTTATGTATTATAGAGTTCGCAATGAAGACGAGCCTGGAACTGTCATGCCAATATCATTATGTACGTTTTCAGACAGTATGCGTCATGATCCAGCAGCAATATGCGCACACCTTGAGCCTGTAATGAAAGAGGCGGTTCAACTCATACCAAGTATAAAAACTGCGTTTTTTCTATCTGATGGCCCTTCCACGCAATATAAAAATAAAAAGATGTTTTATCTCATGGCAAAATTTTTAACGACTAATTTAAAAATTTAAAAATTACGCTGGATCTACAGTGAGCCTGGGCATGGTAAGGGTGCACCAGATGGTGTGGGCGGCTGCCTAAAAAGAACCGCGGATAATTTGGTGAGTATGGGCACCGATATTCCCAATTTTAAGACATTGGTTGAAAAGTTAACAGAAAATTGCAAGGAAATAAAGTGTTTGACAATAGACAGTGAAAGGATACCTATTATTGAAGGACTTTTACCAGACGACTTAAAGGTCTTTAAAGGCACTATGTCAATTAGAGAGCTAACTTGGGTTAATTACAAACCTGATGTTATTGAAGCCAGAAAATTGAGCTGTTTAGTTTGTCATGAAGGCATCTGTTGTCCTCATTTTGGATTGGGAAGCATACAATGGCCAATTACAGGTTATCAAAACTACGATGTTGAATCTGAGTTTGGAACAAGTATTACAAGTATCCTTTTTTACAACAAACACCCTAATGTTGTTTTGGTACCCATTTTTTTCTTAACCCATTTTAGCTCCAACAACTGCAGGTGGTTCGAGAGTGGCTCATCGCCGCTTGCATTATGCAGATGTGTATTCAGATTCAGGCGAGGATTCAGGTGGTGGAGAGTGGAGAAGTTGAACCAAGTGTTGAAATTGATGATAATGAAGATAGAACGACAGCAATAGAAAATGACTACGTTATAGCGAAGGTTACAGGGAAAAAGAAGGCCAAGAACTTTATAGCTCTTGTTACCGGAGTTACTTCTGACAGTGAATACAGCGTCAAGTTTTTGAATAAATGCAGAGTTAACAAATTTGCGTTCCCCGAAAAAGATGATGTTTCTTTAATCACGAAAGATGGTGTTATTTGTGTTATCAACACCAATGGTAAACACTAGGCATCAATACATGTTTAAAGACTTGCCACCTAATATAGTTATATCATAGTTGTCAATGTCTTAATCTTAATCTTAATATTTTGGTGATGTTATTTGCAAAAGTCTTATACTTTAAAAACCATACTTGTTCAGTATAAAGTATTGTAACGGAAATGCTCCAGACATGACGTCGCCTTTGGCGCTCTGGAATTTTCTACGCGCGCGATAGTAGGAACATTCGAGAATGTACTGGACTTACATTGCCTGCGTGTATAAATGGTTGCGGACCGAACATCGCGGCAGTCTACTATCGAACGAGATCGAGTACGGACGAAACATAGAGCGCGAAAAGCTGATATAAATTTCGAAGTGTGTGATATAAATAATCGATATAAATTGTACGGATTTTATAGTGTTTTAGTTCTGTTTAATAAATATTGATATAAATCGAACCCGAAATTTATAAAACACGTTACAGTATTTTTGTGTTTTATTTTTCATTTGTCACTTCCGTTAACAATATCTCACAACCGTTAAGTTTTGTAAATGAAAT